GAAACCACTCATTTTCAATTACCAGTTAATTCATTTGTGATGCTTTTAAAAGACAGAACACAGAGCACTTTGTCCTAAATCTATTTTGTCCTGAAAGTCCAGCTAAGCACTCTAAAAGGAGGCTTTCAAAACACGTTTGACCTTTCAGTTCTAGTCTCCCTGCCAGTTTGGGCTCTCTCTAAAACAAAATGACTACTGGACAACTGTGTCCTTCGCCATCAATAGCCTGACTTCAGGGTAGCCCCACTTTAATTCTACAAAATATATTGCAGGTCACAAACACTTATAATCTCAAGTTTGTAGAGTTCTATATGTAAGCAATAAAAGTGTAAAGGGTGTGATTATGTGTTTATTTGGACCATATCTCCCTTCCTGTCCTCCTCTCCGCTTCCCTCACAGAGCTGAAGACAAATATGAGAAATTATAGGCCACTAGGTTTAAAAACAAAGGTATGAAACAGAAGTCTTTGGAGAGAGTACAATAACGAGAAGCACTTTGCTCTGCTGGAAGACTAGATATAAATTTAATAGAAAAGGAGAGCAAAGTAGTTTGGGACCATGCTTAGACAGAGTAACAATGACGTGCCCTGGCTTTTCTCCATCTTTGGGTATTCCTGGAGGTGGTGGAATCCTGCTGGCTTGCCACGGAGCAGAGCTACTGCTGCCTTTAATGGTAGCATATACTTACTCTGGGCATTTACATGGCTATCTGACAGAAGAGAAGGAAAAATCTAGGAACTCCTTGTTCAGCATTGCCAGTTTTAGTCTTTGAGACACAAACCCAAGATAAAATTATGAAATAAAAGTGAGAACTATGAAGGAAGAGAGTTAACAATATTTAGTTAAGAACTCTAGAGGAGGAGAAAAGAATAAATACTGGGAATTAAATGTTTTCAAGAAATAATGACAGAACTTTGCAGAATTACAAAAAGCAGTTCTCATAAGAAAACTTCTAGCTTTAAAAAGTATTGATCAGCAAACAAGACTGAATATAAATGAACCAAGAATTTAACTCAAGGAAGACTACAACTCAAGCTAAGAACCTATGAATACATTCAAAGAACCGAGGAAGGAAAAAAAAAAAAAAATAAAGATAACAGAAATTAAGGAAACACAAAACAAGACAATAGGGCAGAGAGTGATCAAAACCAGAAATCAGCTGAAGGGAACTTGACAGAAGATGCCTAGATTCCCCTTCCAGAGAAAGGGAATGTTATTAGGAGAAGGCTTCCAGCTGTCAGCCCCTGTGAGAGCCCCACCCTCAGTCAAGGATGAATATCCTAGCGCCAGACCATGACTTTCTCTAAGCAGCCCACAACCAGTGACTAATTTGGCCAGGTAGAATAAAGGCACAAACATTTGACTCAAGGTGGGATAACCCTGACATTTTAGCTCCAGAACTTCCTCCAGGTTAGCCAAGGCTTTGCTTCCATTCCAGCTTGTATTGGTCTGATTTCTCCCTCCCCCTAATCCTGCTTTCTTCCCTTCCCTTCTATGAGCTTCCAAAAATTCTGTACCATACACTCTCAGAGTCTATCTCCTGAATAACTCTACCTGGGCATTGATCTTTGGAAAGATTAGCAAGATGAATAAATCTCTGACAAGACTGAATAAGAAAACAACACAAAAATTAAATAAACAAAATATCGAATCTAAGAAAGAAATTAACTACTAACATAGCAGATAAAAAAGTATAGTGATAACTTTGAAAACTTGGAAGAAACAAAGTTCTGGAAGAATATAAGATGAAATGAGTAGCATAAAAATAGAAAACTTGAATAAACCAATAATAATTAAAGAAATTGAAATAATCACATACTTCTCTCGATATACATCCTTGCCTAGATATTTTTACATTTGAATGCCACGAACTTTCAAGAACTAAACAATTTCCTTATTATAAAACTTATTCCAAAAATAGAAAGGAGGTAATATTTCCAAACTGTTAATGAAACCAATTTATCTGTATTATAAAACTAGGTAAATTGGTATGTAAAAAATAATAAAGCCAATCATGTAATACAATAATTTTAAATAAAATATGAGCTTATCGAATCCAAGAATATTTTAATGCATCGAAGTATTTTATTGGTCATAGCACATAACTAAAAGTTAAATTTGAAATCATTTTTTATATTTAAAAAATTAATTTTAAAAGTATTTTAAACTCATGAGGCCACATGGTACTCAAAAAGAAGAGTTCTTTACAGTAGAATGCCAGCTAAAAAATGAATAAGGACTGACAAGGTTTTGCAACCCTCAAAGTAATAATTCAGACATGGATGACCATTGGATGCTAAAATTCACTAGGTGAAGAATTGTTGGGAAGGGGCAAAATAGTAACAGGGTATCAAAGTATCACTCTACAAAGTAGTTATAAATCCAAAGTGAAACTGCACTTAGACCTTGGAGAAATAATGTGGGCATCACTTAAAGTGATAACATTTTTAATATAATGAGATATTCTAAATTATGTACCTTCTCATGCACTGAAATATGAAGTCCTCCATCTCATGCATGGAGTATTCTTCCAAATGTTCTATCTGAATCTAATCAAGCCTCCAGTCTTAATTTGGAGTTTACATGAAATAAGAAAATTAGTCAAAGAACACCATGGAAAAAAAACAATGCAAAATGTGATATATTGTACAAAAAAAAGACTTTTTATCCTCAAAAAGTCAATATCATAAAAATATCTCTTTTGATTAAAAGAAAACTACAAAGTTATTACAGTCAAATAGAATGCCTGAAACTACTGAATTCTAGATTTTTTAAAAAGTACAAACATATTTTTGGACAATTAAGCATATTTCAATATAAACTAGATATTAGATGCTATTATGAAATGACTTTATCTTAGGTTTGATGATACTGTGATCATATAGAAGAATGTCCTTATTCTAAGAGTGTGCATGCTGAAATATTTAAGGGGCAAAGAATATGTCTGCTTACTCTATATGGCAGGGTAACCAATCAAAAACAAATTGAAAAAGGTTCATCAAATGTGGCAAAAATGTTAATGGTGAACTGTTTCTATTCTTTCAACTTTGGTGGAAAGTTTTTCAAATAAAATATATAAAATATAATCAAATGCATCATAAGCTAGTAGTATAAAATACAAGTATGTTTCAACATTTGAAACCGATCAGTGTTTTTTATCACACTGATGAACTAAGGGGCAGAAGTAATTTATTTCAGCAATGCTTTGTAGTTTTCAGTGTACTTCTTAAATATCTTATAACTTCAAGTTTATTCCTTAGAATTATATGCTATTTTTGATACTATATAAAGTCATTTTTTTAATTTGTCAGATCATCACTTCTAGTATACAGAAATATAACTGATTTTGAGATTTTTATATTCTGCAAATTTTCTGTATTTGTTAATTAGCTCTAATAGTTTTTTTAAGAATGATTTAGAGTTTTCCTTATGTAATAGCACTTCAACCATAGAGTTTTACTTCTGCCTTTTCAATTTAGATGACGTTTATTTCTTTTTATTGCCTAACCTCTCTGGCTTAGGACTTCCAGTAATATCTTGTTTAGAAGTAGAGAAAATGGGCATCCTTGTCTTGTTCCTGACTTCAGATGAAACAATTTCAGCCTTTTACCTCTTAGTATGTTAGCTGTAGGCTTTTCATACATGACATTTACCATGTGGAGGTTGTTCCCTTCTATTCTTTGCTTATTGATGTTTCCATCGTGAGAAAGTGCTGGATTTTTTAAAATGCTTTTCTGCACCAATATGTGTTTTGTTTTAGTCTATTAACGGATAGAACATAAAATGCTCGATTAAACTCAGAAGGAAAAGAGGGGAAGACAAAAAATAAAAATAAGGGCAATGAAAACTATCTGAATCCATCTTATCAATCACTTTAAACATCACTTATCAAAATATAAATGGGCAAAAGAAAAGAACAGACACTTCACCAAAGATACACAGATTACAAATAAGCATATTAAAAGATTGTCCACATCATATCTCATTAGGGAATTGTCAATTAAAAGAACAATGAGATATCACTGCATATCTATTAGAAGCCCAAAATTCAGAACACTGACAACAGTTTATGCTGGTGAGGAGAACTCTTATTCATCACTGGTAGGAATGCAGAATGGTATAGCCACATTGGAAGAGTTTGATAGTTTCTTACAGAACTAAACACACTCTTAACATAAGATCCAAAAATCGTGCTCCTTTTGATTTACCCAAATAAGTTCAAAAAGTTATGTCCACAAAAACCTGAACACAACTGTTTATAGCAGCTTAATTCATAACTGCCAAAACTTGGAAGCAACCAAGATGGCCTTCAATAAGTAAATAGATAAACAAATTATGGGACATCCAGATGATGAAATATTCAGTGCTAAAAGGTGAGCTATCAAGCCACAAAGAGACATAGAGAAATCTTAAATGCATATTACTGTGAAAGAAGTCAGTCTGAAAAGACAATTGTATGACATTCTGGAAAAGGCAAAGCTATGGATACAGAAAAAAATATCAGTGGTCGGGGGTTGTGGGGAGAGAGTGTTGAATAGTGGGGCACAGAATTTTTAAGGGAGTGAAACTATTTTGTATGACACTATAATAGTGGATATGTCCTTATATATTTGTCAAAACCCATTGAATGTAAAACACAAAGAGTAAACCCAAAGTAAACTATGGGCTTTCAGTAATAATGATGGGTCAATATAGGTTCAATGTACAACTCTGGTGCAAAATGTTCATAGTAGGGAAAACTAAGGGATGGGGGGCAGTATTTGAGAGCTCTACTTTCTGCTCAATTTTTTCTGAAAGCCTAAAACCGCTAAAAAATTATATTAAAACAAAACCAAATTATATTCTATATTAACTAAATACCTGAAGCTGTAGTGGCAGTCACTTTTTAGCAAACCTCAATTCAGAATCCGGACATTCTCATCTGTACTCAAGGCTTCAGGCAACACTGGGGATGGCCAAGACAGAACACAGCAATCACTGGGATAAAAGTCAATTTAGCTATGAGATCTGCACCATTTATTCTTTATTAAGACATGGCCCATCCAAAAGGAAAGATGTAGATTTGTTCAAAGTAGGTTGCTTCTTCTTCCTCATTGTAATTAATCTTTCCATTATCCTCTTATTCCTATAAAATAAGTTAGAAAAATTTTTGAAAAACTGTCAGAATAAAACTGACCATTCCCTACCAACCCCTTAAAAATGACCGATAAAAAAAAAAAAAAGAAATCCACTTTTGGATTTCTTACCTAAGAACTGTGGGTAAAAGGATTTTATGTAGTAAACAAAGAAACAAGATTGTCCATTTAATATCAGGCCTCATATTCTGTATACAATTGGTTCTACTTCCTTTATCATTATACTATCCCTTCCCTTTCCCTCACATTCCTTTTCTGTTCATACATGCTCATGATTTCCTCATTTAAAAAGAAAAAGAGAAGAAAGGAAGGAAGGAAGGAAGGAAGGAAGGAAGGAAGGAAGGAAGGAAGGAAGGAAGGAAGGAAGGAAGGAAAGACACAAGCTCCCATTACCATTTCCACTAACTGCTATCACCTCCTTCCTGCTCAGGTAGTAGAAATTATCAGTAATTCCTGTCTTAGTCCTTCACATGCTCTACTCCAACTTGTCAGTATCACATTTCTGCTTCTACTGATCCTTCAACCTACTCTCAAAAAAGCCACCAATTGTGTCCTAAACTGACATTTCCAACAGCACTGCATTCATCATAACCATACATGGCCATCTCGCCGCCAATCATTTACTTGGAAACTCTGCTCATTGCTTCCTTTCCTCACTTATCTCCCAACCTCTAACTGTACTTTTTTAGTCTCCATTGCTCACTTGCCATTGATATGCTGATTCTTCTTAGGGTCCTTTCCTATGTTCCTTCTAACTCCTACATACTCTTATGTATAATTTAAATGCCAATGACTCCCAAAGATGTTTCTCTTTAATCCATACTGCTCTAGGATAGGAACTCTATACCCATGTCAGGCATGTTCCATGTAACATCACTGAACTGGACTTCTACCTTTCCTCTGTCTAATAAGATAGTATCCTGTTCTTTTTACTCTTACATCTGTTAAATTTGTCTCATTCACATTTAAATTATTAGCCAAGGTCATAAATTATCTTTCCATAATTATTATAGTAATCTCTTACCCTCCAACCTAGTTTCTATTATAAGATTTCAGTTCACTTCCTAAAATAAAAAAATATATATAGTTTCCCTCCACACTTATCTGATATCACCTCCAACCAATTCCATCACCAAAAGCTGAATTTTGTACTCATGGATGGACCTTAGAAATTCTATAGGCTATATAAAATTTAAATCAGTGCTTATGTATATGCCCAATGTATATTTTCCAGGAGAGAAGGTATGTAGATATACTATATTCTCAAAGGAGTCTATGTCTCAAAAGTGTCTGAGAAATTATGACCCACAGGATAATGAGACCTTTAATACAGATATAAAACCTTCGGTGGTCTCCTTCTCCCCTTCCCAGACTTGTAAAATGTAAGCTTCAGTCATATTGACCTACTTGCAATTTCTAAGTATGCCATGTTTTTTCATTTCCATGTATTAGTACGGGCTGTTTCCACTACCAAAATACCCAAATTATTACTTTCCAACTGGTAAGCTCTTCCTAAGTACATGCATTGAAGTACCTAATTTACCTTAATTTAGGTGCTACCCATATATTTTCATAGCATTTTACTCATTTCCATTCCAGCATGCTATGTGGATTTTGTCTTACTAGTTTTTGTATCACAGACTAAATATCCAACATATGGTAAAACTCTTTTTTTTCCCTTAAAAAAGGTCTCTAAAATTGAGGCAATTAATATTCTAACTTGTCAGATACTTTGCCAGGGCTGTTAAGAAGCAACTGCATTTATTTGAGTTCTAATCCACTCCAAGGTTCTTTTTCCTTCCTATTTCTGCCTGATCCATATATGGCAAATTAAGAAAACAGTATGTTTGCCTTCTGCATTCTCCTACTAAATTATTCAGAAACCTATCTAGATATCTACTTTTCTGTGTGCCATACAGATAATTAAGTGTTACCTACCTCTTAACACATTCAGGGCATAACATATTATCTTCTAGGTCTGGGTATGGGAAAGTGCAAGCTGGTAATAGGAAGAGAGAGATCATCTTCTTGGGAGTGTCAGGCACCCAGGGCTGACCTGCATGGAAGTGCAGACGAACCCAGCCCTTTATGTCTGCCAAGAGAGGTCTGCCATGGACCACACACCACCTGACAC